CATAAGCATTTTAATAATACTCTTTCTGTTCTTAATAATAAGACCTAATTATTAAGTTAATTTTGGTCTTACATATAAGACTATTTATCATATTTATCAATTTTTTTTAAATTATCCCTATGGATACTCCCTCAACCATAATCAAGTAAGTGATGGAGGAAAGATATTAAGGAAGATGATTATGATATTTTAGGAAGAACATATCATATTTTTTATAATTAACTAACTTACCTAACTTCCTTAATATAATCAAATTAGTTAAATATATCTTATATTAAGGACCGGGGAGTATATTTTTGTCATCTTCCTGCGGTAATGTTGGCTGACAATCAACATCAAGCCAAAAAGATAAAAGGAAAACCGATCATATTCTTAGTACTAGCTCAGGTACTTAATATTAAATGCATTAGGAGAATTACAATATTCCAAATAAGAAAAATAATTACTGGAAAGTCCTAATAATAATCTAAACAGTTTTTAATGATAAGTTTTAGAATAGAAAATGATAACTTTGAGATTTGTAATTATTTTCCTTGCAATAATTCTTTCAAATGCATTTTTGCAGTGCACACTTTACTGTACGAAGTTTGCTCTACAATAGCCATTTATTAAGAATTAGAACAACACTACAAAGTAGCATTATTTTCTTTTCTTTTTATTTTATTTTTGAAAGATGCGACAGATAGAGTTTATTGCCTCGCGGCCCTCTTGAATGTTCCTCCCAAGGCCGGGAGAGACTTTGGGTAGTTGAGGCAGCCGTCCAAGACTTCTAATAAATTAAAGTTCAATTTTCCCTGTATTATTTATTATAATATTCCTCCTAAAGTTTTGTAATTGTGTTCAACTCAAAAAATATTTTTTCTTCCATGTAATTCCCTGTTCATTTCTTTCAAACTGTCAGTTCCAACCGTAATCTTTTGGTTGGAAGCACCGTGAAATTTGCATCTTAGTTGGAAGGTCAATTCCGAAACTAGAATCAAACTGAAAAACTAATTTGATCCTCAAGGTTTTCAGGCACGGAGACCCTGGAGGCCTGGACTGAAGAGAAACCATTAGAAATTGCAACCTACAGATAAGTTCTTATGGGAAAGATTCGTGAAAGTAAAATGGAAAATAGAGACATGCATAATATATTATAAAAGTACACTGCGATGCATGGTACAAACAGGTATAGATTGGTTTAATTAACATTGCAAAATTGTTAGAAACTAAAAAATCAGAACGTCTACAGTTCAAGGGCTGATGCTCACGATGACTAACCATCTGCTTGAACGGGTGATGATTCTCTGCACTTCCTGGGCGCATGATGTTTTATCCCCTCGCCCGATCTTATTTTAGTCTCAAATACAAACTGACTCTTATAGTTCCTCTCCGATCTGTGCTGCTCTCTGCACTAAAATATCTCTCTTCATTATATTCTCTGCATCATTATCATCTAATCAACTCCACATTTGTCTGGTTGTTGCTGCAGTGGCCTCAAGTTAATCTTTGCTACTTTCTATCGATCTTCTTAGCGGCTAACTTCACCAAGATAAACCGGAATGTGGATATTCATTATGTTATTTTGGATTGAATGCGAATTTATGCTTATATTAAGAATTCCTTTTTTAAAATCCGCTTGCAAAGCGCCGAAAGACCAGCTCTTTGCTGTACTGCAGAAAATTCATGAAGTCGTGGAGAAATGAAGGTAGAATAAAGCATATTTATGGTTGACAAGTCAAACGTCTAGATTCATGTCATCCTATTATTTTATTGATTTTAATAAGCATTCTTTTTCCCCCATTGGAATGCAAGGGCACTCGCAAAGCCGTGTAGAAGACAACAAACTCGATCAGAGCTCAATAAATTCCCGTGGTGAATCATATAAAATTGTTGTATCGAACGTCTCAAGATAAGCATCTCGAACAGTCTAAACATGCACTCAATTATGATGGTCCAATCTTGCATTAGGAGATCTCTTGTATTTTTGATTGAGCTGTAAAAGGAATGATTCAGGAAAATTTTGTTATGAATAAATGTGGGGGTTTCCATCGAATTAGTGGACACACTGCCCTAAGCAATTTTGTAATATATGTTTGTCATCCTCTAGCGCCAATGTCAGCTGACAATTTCGGAGGAACCCGGTAGTATGAGGGAAATACAGGAAAGAAGATATGAGGAAAAATTTTAATGAGTTTTATTTAAAAAAAATTAAAGAATTGTCGTTTTAAAATTTTAATAGAAAGAGAAAGTAATATAAAAAATAATAAAAATTAATGAAAAATTTTTTATTTTATTTTTTTAATTTTTTAAATTGAGCTTGTTATAATTTTTCTTTCCTCTCCCTTCCTCTATTTTCCTCGTATCAAACGAAGGCTAAGGCCTGATGAGTGATCACCATCAGGCTGACAGTGAAAAAAGAAGACCGGTCATATTCTTAATTTCTTTGTTTTTTTTTTTTAATGTGTCAGCTAGAGTTTATTTGCTCGCCGGCCTCTTCTTGACTGTTCTGCCCAAGGTCGTGAGAGATTTTAGGTGGTTGAGGCAGTCGTTTAAGACCTCTAATAAATTGAGAATCAATTTTTCCCCATAATATTATTTATTATAATTTTCCTTTAAAGTTCCGTAATTGTGTTTAACTCGGGAGAAAAAAAAGAAATTACTGTAATTCCTTGTTCATCTCTTTCAAATAGTCACCTTCAACCATAATCTTTTGGTTGGAAGCACACTGGAATTTACAACTTTTTGGAAGGTCAAAGCTGAAATTAGAATCAAACTTAGTAACTAATTTGATCCTCAAGGTTTTTCAGGCACGGAGAACCTGGACCGAAGAGAAGCCATTGGATCTTGTAACCTACAGATATGATTCATCCATGTGGTATTGTTATCTTTGTATCTAATCATATTATATGTTTTGTACGGAAGAAAAGAAAAGCAAAATTTATTCTATGCATTCATTCTTGACGTGGATATAAGCATGAAAGTAAAAGGAAAAAAAAATAATAAAGATATGCATAATATATTACTCCTCCGGTCCTTAATATAGGATCCAATTGGTGAGTTGGCTTTGGTCCTAAATATAAGACCCATTTCTTATATTTATCAATTATCTCTAAATTACCCCTATGGATACCCTTTCAACCATAATTAAGTAGAAGAGAAAGATGAGGTATTAAGAAATATAATTATGGTATTTTAGGAAAAACGTGTCATATTTCTTATAATTAACTAACTTACCTAACTTCTTTAATCTAATCAAATTAATTAAATAGGTCTTATATTAAGTACAGGAGGAGTATAAAATTTCTGTTGGGATGTGGATTGCAGCTAGTTGCAGTATAAATAATCATTGGATTGACTCTGACCCAGGGTTGAATGTGCTGTTGATACGTCCTTTTTGTCATTAAAGTATAGTGCGATGCAGGGTGCAGACAGGGCCGAGTATCCTCTCTTCGTTACGTTCTGTGCATCATTATCATCAAATCAATTCCACATTTGTCTATTGCAGCAATGGCCTCAAGTTAATCTTCGCCAATTTCTATCGATCTTCCTAGTGGCTAAGTTCAACGAGGTAAACCAGAATGTGGATTTTCATTATCTTATTTTAGATTAAAGAATTGCTTTCTTAAAATCCGCTTGAAAAGCGCTGTAAAGATCAGTGCTTTCCTGGACTGCAGGAAATTCATGAAGGCGTGAGAAATGAAGGCAGAAGAAAGCATATTTCCGGTTGAAGATGTCTCAAGCAGCAACAAATCATAAACTCACTGTTCACTGAGGCCCGCATCCTTGAATCCATTACCCCTTCAACCATCGCAGCCAGGTTTGTGTCTTGCTTCCTTGACCTTTACTGGGTGGCAAAAGCTATAGATTGGTGCATTGAGTGGTGATGAAGAACTTTATTGTACTGCTTATTTGCATTAGTTTGCTCTTTATAAGAACCTCCACTTCGTTAGACGGGATCACTCGGAGCCAGCCTTTAAGAGATGGGGAGACCTTAGTTTCAAGTGTAGGAGTATTTGCGATGGGCTTTTTCAGTCCTGGAAAATCGAAGAATCGATACTTGGGTATATGGTACAATCGTATTTCTCCTTTGACGGTGGTATGGGTGGCCAATAGAGAAGCGCCAATCAGTGATGGCTCAGGAATTTTAGTATTAAACGATCTTGGAGTTCTTGCCCTGGCTGATGGCACAAATAGGACTGTTTGGTTGTCTAACAATTCTATAATGGCTGAGAAGCCAATTGTACAGCTCTTGGACACAGGAAATCTTATTATTAGTGACCAAAAATACAGTAATAAGGACCACTTCATATGGCAGAGTTTTGATTATCCCTGTGATACCTTATTGCCAGGAATGAAGCTTGGATTCAACCTAGTCACTGGTCTGAATAGGTTCCTATCTTCTTGGAAAAGTCCGGATGATCCTAGTCAAGGGGAACATATACTGAAATTAGACCCTCGAGGATATCCACAATCATTTCAATTGAGGAGAAATGTCATACATTTCAGGGCGGGATCGTGGAATGGCCTTTATTTTACTGGATATCCAGTTCAGAAACGAAATCCAGTATACAAGTCTAAGTTTATTTTCAACGATAAAGAGGCATATTATGAGTATGAACTCGTGAATAGCTCAGTTTACTCCAGAATTACAATGTCTCCTTCAGGCATTGGGAAGCGTTTAATATGGGGTAATCAAAGAGGCACATGGGAGATTATCTCAGCTAACATGGCTGATCAGTGTGACAATTATGGTTTATGCGGGGCATACTCTATCTGTGATTTCAGTAGCTCCAGGGTCTGTGAGTGCTTGAAAGGATTTGTACCAAAAAATGTGGAACAGTGGAATATATCAGATTGGTCTGGTGGGTGTGTTCGAAGTGCTCTATTGGATTGTAATAGTATAGATGGCTTCCGGAAGTATAGTGGTGTGAAATTGCCAGACACATCTTCTTCCCAGTTTAATAAGACCATGAACCTTGAGGAATGTCAGCAATTATGTCTGAGGAACTGTTCTTGTACAGCATATGCAAATTTGGATATCCGTGATAGAGGAAGTGGCTGCTTACTTTGGTTTAAAGATCTGATTGACATGAAGCAATTAATGCAAGGAGGACAAGACATTTTTATTCGCGTCCCTGCTTCAGAGCTAGGTGCACGCTTCTTCCTTGTTTATATTTTTTTCGTGTGTTTTCTTCCTATCTGATGGAAACCACTTCCAGAATTGATATTAGATCACAGATTATAATCCACAGCAGTTCTAATGGATTAAGGTGCACAGTGATGAAGTAGGAAAATCATAACCAAAGTAACACAGGAACCTAAAACCACCTCTAGCATTTGAGAGGCTAGAGGCTCTCCCACAAACCACTCACGTTCTGCTTAAACCCTCCCTTAACCTCACTCCCCAATATATACAACTAATAGCCTTTTATCTTCCTCTCAGTCATACAGCTCACACACTTCGTGCGATTTACTCTTGGCCCATTAAATAAGAGCCCGATAGCTATAGGCCTAACACGACCTCTTCAACCTTTATGACTCTTTTACTTGTTTGATCGTGATTCAGAGTGATCCCCAGTTCCCCACACCTACCCCAAATGAAACGATGGGGGTAATGGAGAGAGAATTTCCATGATGATATTGATAGTCCTTTCAGTTCTGCTATATAACATTTGATCCACAAGCAGTAGCAACAATAGCTAAAACAAGTATATGGGAGTTAAAAACTTTTGGTATTTGATCATATGCGCAAAAAAAAAAAAAAAAAATTACATTTTCACTCACTGCCAGCTTTGTCTGAATCATCGAGTGATAATTGTATTTTGATTTAATTAGACCTTGTTCTCTTACCTGTAGTTAGCATCAATTGAAACATTGTGATTAAATTGGTCACTAATAATAGTCTCCATTTGGCAGACTTTTCTGAGAACAAACGCTATGGGAACACCAATAAGGGAAAGCTCCTAGGAATCGCTGTTGCTTCTGTTACAATAAACATGGGCATGATACTTATAATTTTTGGATTGATTAGATGTGTACGGAAAAGGAAACCCAAAAGGTCAGGTGAGCTTCAACATTTTCTAAGATCTGAGATAGGCACCCAGAAAGCACAGAAAAGGATATGTTTTGTTATGGCAATTAATTTTTGGAATTCGTCATTTTACACCATTGCAGGGATGACAAAAATATATTATAGGAATCCTTACTACAATAACTTGAGAATGGAAGACACAGAACTACAAATATTTGATTTTTCAGTCATAGCTAAAGCCACTGATAATTTTTCAAGCACCAATAAACTGGGAGAAGGTGGTTTCGGATCAGTGTACAAGGTAATATAATATTTTCTTTTCTTTTTTTAAACCTGAAAGTGATATAACATTGTTCAAATAAGTGTATTTCAATTTTCTAAAGATTTCTAAGTATTCTATATGATGATTTGAAGGGCACTTTGGGACATGGACAAGAATTAGCCGTGAAAAGGCTATCTGAGAATTCTGTTCAAGGATTGGAAGAGTTTAGAAATGAAGTTTTGTTGATAGCCAAACTTCAACATCGTAACCTTGTGAAACTTCTTGGTTGCTGCATTGAAAGAGAAGAAAAACTGTTGATCTATGAATACATGCTGAACAAAAGTTTGGACCACTTTATTTTTGGTATGAACCTTTATAGGTTACACTTCAACATCTTTGGTAGTGCTCTGTTTTCTTTAGTTTTGAACACTAAGAACGTAGGAGTTATGCTAAACATGTCTCTCTAATTCAATAGATGAATCTAGAAACCAGTTGTTGGATTGGACAAAGCGTTTCCACATTATTAATGGCATTGCTCGTGGACTTCTCTACCTTCATGAAGATTCTAGATTGAGAGTTATTCATAGAGATATGAAAACTAGCAACATTTTATTAGATACAAATTTAAACCCAAAAATATCAGACTTTGGCCTAGCTCGAACATTCTGGGGAGATCAAATTGACGCCAAAACAAAAAGGATAGCTGGAACATAGTAAGGTTTCCTTTTCATGATTCATTGTCCTATGTTACTGTATTTACATAAAACTTATTTCAACTTGCACTTTTTTTTTATAGTGGTTACATGCCTCCTGAATATGCTGTGCATGGACATTTCTCGATAAAATCAGATGTTTTCAGCTTTGGAGTGATAGTGCTAGAGATAATAAGTGGAAAGAAAAATAGAGAATTTTCAGATTTAGAAAACTTCTTGAATCTTCTTGGATATGTAAGTATAATGATTTGACTTCATACCTGACTCATCAAATCAGAATATGGCTTTTACCTTACTAACATGATTCCCACTCTTTCAGGCATGGAGACTATGGAGAGAAGGAATGGCGATGGAATTAATGGATCAAGCCTTAGGAGAGAGATTCAATCCATCTGAAGTCATACAATGCATACAAGTGGGCCTGTTATGTGTACAACAAATACCAGAAGATAGACCCGACATGTCGTCTGTGGTTCTAATGCTGAACGGAGAGAAATCATTGCCCGACCCTCATGTTCCTGCTTTCTACATTGAAAGGAGAATACCTGAAGCAGATTCTTCCTCGGAAAAATGCAAACCTTCCTCACCAAATGAAATGTCCCTTACAACATTCGAGGCAAGATAGTGCACATAATGGCTTTACTTTTCAGAATGGGATTCGTTGATTATTCTAAATCAAAAGAATATTCAGATGGTATAATCTCTCATGTTAGTCAGCCGATCTAATTCTTACCTGGTTGTTTTCATTTGCGTTATGAGCCACTTGTTAAGCAGGAAAAAATTTCTCTAAAGATTTTTTCTGCATTTTTCCTAGCCAAGCTGATTGAGATGACAAAGGCTAGATTAATTCATGAACTTTGTTTTCTATAATTCACCTAAAAGTATTTATTTCCCAAGAAAATTGAACATAGGATCGTATGGCTTCCAATAGGAAGATGATACTTTAAAATCGACGCTGCTTTTTGCATATGTTGCAAGTTCAAGCTCCCATAGAGAGCTTCTAGGGCACCTTTATTGTTTCGATAGGGGCATATTCCCTGATGGAACAAGATTTTGTTTGTAAAGTTCAGAAGAGATTTGTCAGGTCAGCTTGAACTTTATAACAGTTGCCTGGAACTAAAAGAGAATCTGCGAAAGTGAAAGACTTGGTGTGGTGGCAACTCTTATTCTTGGAGTAAAATACATTCATCAGTAGAAAATCACTCTGATTGTGCTGTAAAAGAAGATTAAGTCCTAAAAAACTTCTTGACATTCTATATAAACATCTAAACCAGCAGTTGAACCCCCGCCTGACTAAACTCGTCGTTGTAAGGGACGATGAAGGCACATTAGTTGCTCCGGTTGTCTCAGGCTATTTCTACCTGAGCCAGAGCGGCATTGTACATAGGTTCTTAATCAAAACTTCAAAACATCAAAGAAATTGGCCGAGTCGCACTCAACGAGCATCAGAGTATCAGCCTATTCTAACAAATATGCTTCACAACTGCTACATGGAATGCCATCTACCGAGGATCAATTGGACTAATTCAACATCATTTATTCAAGATGATTTATATACGCTTGATGATGAACTGCCACCTACCAAATCTTTCAGTTAAAACCCAGGCATCTAAGGTTGAGGTGACGAGGATTCACTACTCAGAATTATAACTATGGACAACATGCTTGGCCTTCTATTCAGTCGCCAATTCATCCAAAACAGGTTGAATATACTCTTATATCAACAAAACTAAACATGAAGACCCAGTAACCCATTAATTAATTGATAGTGCAAAGAACCTCAACTATTATAATCTGACAATTAACATAATTCAATATCTGATGTTTGGCATGAAGGGGAAAAGACCAGTGCAATCAAAGCCAGAAACGTAGTAAAAAAATGGTTCAAAACTTGTTTTATTGGGATTTTCCTCGTATTGCTGCAGATTTTTGCCTGATTAGAGTTGTCCCTTAGCTTTTTAGCGACAAATTTTGGACTATCGATTGATTTTTCGCACTTCCAGGAATGAATGGTGTGTTACACACAGTGGTAAGCTTCTCTGGTGGAAGTGTGTAACACATCTTTCTCTTTTGGATTGCGAGTATTAACCACTATGATGAATATTATTTTTCATATTTGTATTTTGGTAACGACAAAGAAGACTAGAGCAGAGACTTGTTGCAAGCGATAATGTCATTGTTTATGGAGGAAGCAGTCAATATCAACAGCGCAGGGGTGGGTTCTAAAGGCATAAATATGGCTGATAGGTTAGATAACTGTCATCTGGAGGGGCCATATTCATTGATATCGGAGTCTCTTTTTTTTTCCCCCTCATTCACGTGCAGATCAGCAAAGGCTGGCCATACTTAGGATCTCTGTGACTTGTCACCGTTCCCAAATTAATGCACCGATTTCTTTGTACTGTAACAGGTTACACACACACACACAATAGGGTTACATAAATGTCTTTTGTTAACTGTTCTTGGGAAGCAACTTGGAGGTCATATTTCAAATTCATGTTGACTATTTGCGACATAATATTTAAATGCTCTGTTTTACTCATCCAAACCAGAGTAAGCATTTTATTCCACAGGGCCGTGGTTTGCCACGGGAAAATTTTTAGAAAATTACGAGAAATAACGTCGTCTACTATAACTTGTGCGTATTTCAGCGTGTTATTCTAAAAATTTTGAAACTACCAAATATAAGTAAGAGGATGATTTTGAAGATATTACGTCGATGGAGGGCAACGGTCGGGTCAAAAGAATGATAAGCCGACTGCAACCTAGTTGAAAATTTTATGTGAAGGGAAAGAAGACGTTAATTTGTTAAAGGTTTACGGAATGAAAAATTTCTTTCGCTGCCGGTCTATCCATATTTATTATGGTTCTAAACTGCGGAGACTTAGTCTCATGCTCGCGCGCGTCTCCTTTGAAAGAAAGAACAGACTCTTCTTGAAAGCATATATTCTGTCCCTCTTCATTTTGTTCTTCTTCCGCTAATTTAAGCTTTTTATTAGTAATTATCTAAACTGAAATGAAAATAAGAAGGGCAATAGGATATTAAAATTTAGGCTCGTTCTTCCTGAACCGATTGGATATATCTGGATCCTTGAATCAACAAATTCTGAGACTTTTGTAAGATATCTTATCTGCCAAAAAGTTAACTAGTGTTGACGTTTGGAGCTGGGGAAAACATACGACCAGTGAAAAGGGGAAGCATCAATGGTCAACAGGGATATAGTACTCCCATAGTCCCATTAAATGAAACCCCTTTCCACGGTAATTTTCTGACTCGGTCTCGCTATTCCCCTGTTTGAACCGGAAACAATCAACGCGACGCATTCATTTTAGTCTTCTACGATGAATGTGGCCTCCAAAGTAGTTGTTTTATCTCCTTAAAGTCCATTCCAATTCGAAGTTCGAATCACAAGCTAGAATATTCATCAAATTCTAGCTTTTAAATTCCCGCCAGTATCTCTTCAACAATTGCACCCGCCTAGCCATAAGAAAAACGATGGAAAGCTTCAGAAAGCTTTCTGTGTGTTTTTTGTTACTATGCTTCACAAGCATGTCCTCCACGCTGGACATGATAACCCCAGACCAACCCCTGCGTGATGGCCAGAATAAAAGTCTGGTTTCAGATAGGGGAATCTTCGAAGCTGGATTCTTCAACCTTGCAAATTCAAAAAGCCGTTACGTGGGAATTTGGTACAAAGACATTCGCGAAAAAACGATCGTATGGGTGGCCAACAGAGAAAACCCACTCCACAGTGCCTCAGGAGTTTTGCAGATTGACAGTGGTAAAGGAATTCTTAGAATCTTGGACAGCAAAGGGATCGAAACTTGGTCCTCGAATGCATCGCAACAAGCAGAGAACCCAGTTTTGCAGCTTTTGGATTCAGGAAACCTAGTTCTGAGAGAGGAAAAGAACTCGAGCAGCATATTATGGCAGAGCTTTGATTATCCAGGCGATACTTTTCTCCCTGGTATGAAAATTAGAAGCGACATAGGGACAGGTAAGTATATGGGTCTGACTTCCTGGAAGTCACGGGAAGATCCTACCCCTGGTGAGTATTCTATGCACATAGATACTAAAGGCCTTCCTCAGCTAGTTGTCACAAAGGAAAAAAAAATGACATACAGAGCAGGACCGTGGACTGGGCTTGGTTTTACGGGGACCCCTGAATTGAGAACCATCAAATCCGCGAAATTTATTTTTGAGCTAAGTAAAGATGAAGCCTCCTATGAATATACTGTCCTGAATAATGCAACTCTAATGAGAAGCAGACTGATGCCAGAAGGATATCCACTGCGTTTGATATGGTCTTCTCAGGCAAATAAATGGGATGTTTTCTACCCTAGCCAGTTCGATCAGTGTGAAAGCTATGCCTTATGTGGTCCAAATACTAATTGCACCGGCGGCACTGACTCTAATTGTAAATGCTTGACCGGATACACAGCAAGCACGTCTGGTGGGTGTGTTCGAACTACTACTCGACTTGGATGTGGAAGAGGAGATGTCTTTCAAAAGTACCAAAGGATGAAATTGCCGGACACATCTGCTTCCTGGTACAACACTACCATGAGTTTGCAGGAATGTGAAAAACTATGTTTGAGAAACTGCACTTGCGCGGCATATTCTAATTTGAACATCAGTGATGGAGGAAGTGGCTGCTTGCACTGGTTTAATAACATTGTCGACTTGAGAGAACTCAAAGAGGGAGGACAAGACTTCTACATTCGAGTATTTGCAGTTTCAGGCCTAGGTATGTGCGTATTATTCATATAATATTGTGTTTTAATGAAGTTCTCGATAGCATGCTCGTGTGTGGATTATATTCAGAAGATCTCAGATTCTGCAGTGAAAAATGGCATGAACAAGAGGAGGCTTGCAGGAATTGTGATAGGCTGCGCTCTATTAATCATCAGCATAGTAATACTCGGATTGATAATTAGGAAGAAGCTCATGCATCCAGGTGATGAATTCATGACCACTAGATTGCGTTTTTTTTTTTTTTCCTTTCAAGAAATGATGATTAGATTTGGAATATCTGTGATCTCAAGCTTTTAGCAGGATAACTTATATGTAACTTTATGACATGATTAATATTTCATTTTTCAATTAAAATAAGACGAGTACATATAAGTTTAATAACATGACAGGTGAGTGGGATTTTGTGGTTGTGGTTAAGTCTGAGGTCTTTTACCACTTAGAATCATTCATTGAATGTTTTGAAAAAATGTTTAAATATTTTATAATTTTATTGAAAATCTTGATGACAAATATACAAAGAAGAGAACCTAAGTCTAAACATTTTTAACGCACGCGCGCACACATACATTCTGCCTTTAGATTTGGTAGTTCTTATTTGTTCAATAATCAATTATATAAAGAACTCACCCTCCGGTCACCATTTCAGGGAAAGCAATTTATTGGAGGGACAAGAATGACAAAGAAGACATTGATTTGCCAATATTTGAATTTTCAACCATTTCTAATGCCACAGATCAATTTTCAGAGAGGAATAAGTTGGGACAAGGTGGTTTTGGACCGGTGTACAAGGTAACAGATCTATATAATTGACCAAGTATTTCTTTTCCTGAATCACCAAACTTTTAACTCTCACAAAAATGTTGCGCAGGGCGTACTAGCAGATGGACAAGAGATTGCAGTAAAGAGGCTCTCCAAAACATCAGGACAAGGAATGGATGAGTTTAAAAATGAAGTTTTATTGATTGCAAAACTCCAACACCGCAATCTTGTAAAGCTTCTTGGTTGTTCTATTCAACAGGGAGAAAAGTTGTTGATTTATGAATTCATGCTTAATGGGAGCTTAGACTACTTTCTTTTTAGTATGAACTCTATACACTCTGTGGCTTTTATATCACTAATTTTAATAAATTTTATTTAGTAGTTTCCATGCTAACTTGAAAGGTGAAATATGTCAGATTCAACAAAAACTAAGCTACTAGATTGGGCTAAACGATTCCATATTATTGATGGGATTGCTCGAGGCCTTCTCTATCTTCATCAAGATTCAAGATTGCGAATAATCCATAGAGATCTCAAAACCAGCAACATTCTTCTTGATATTAATATGAATCCAAAAATATCAGACTTTGGATTAGCCAGAATTTTTGGAGGAGATCAAGCCGAGGCCAACACAAATAGAGTGATGGGAACATAGTATGTATTTAATTAATTTGCTTTTTTTTTCTTGGTGCAAACCCTTTTAACTTCTCTTTTCTTTATTATATTGCAGTGGTTATATGCCTCCAGAATATGCAGTGCATGGATCTTTTTCTGACAAATCTGATGTCTTTAGTTTTGGAGTAATGGTATTAGAGATAATAAGTGGGAAGAAGAATAGGGGATTTTGCGATCCACATTATCGTCTTAACCTTCTGGGACATGTAGGTTTGATGAATAAGTTCCTTCAGTTGCAACTAATTATGAGAATTATATATACTTCTCATTTGTTTGTGGCTATTGTTTTCCTTTTTAGGCATGGAAACTATGGATTGAAAAAAGACCCATGGACCTAATGGATGAACAACTGCAAGAATCAGTTATTTCATCCGAGCTGTTAAGATGTATTCAGGTGGGTCTATTATGTGTGCAACAAAGACCAGAGGATAGACCCAACATGTCCACTGTGATTTTAATGTTGAATGGTGAAAAGTCACTTCCTGATCCAGGAGAGCCAGGGTTCTACATTGGAAGTGATAATCAACCCTTAGCAAATTCTACTATAAGGAGCAGCGGGGAGTGTTCAATTAATGAAGCTTCCAACTCAACATTAGAGCCAAGATAGAATGCCAAAACAAGCTTGAACCTTCCTATGTCTCAAATTCCATGTAATGTCTCCAAATAAATTTAATTTCCATAAGCTGATGAAAACGAAGAGGTCGATGCTATTAGGGGCGCGCAACAAGTCCATCAAATTGATGTTTATATAATGTCAGTGTGCAATGAATGTGATAGTTTATAATGCATCATTTTGTGTAATTATACCTGACTTTGGAAGAAGCATATGCTGGTTCTACCAAAAATTGATGATACATTCACAGCTGCACGAGTTATAACACGTCAAGACTAGTGAAATTACAAGAGCCAAAAAAAAAAAAGAAGAAAGAAACAGAGAGAGGTCCTATAAATGCTACTCCATCCTATGGCTAATATAGCATCTATTTTGAGGTTGGATTGGATTCTAAATAAGATTTAACAATTCATTTTATCTTCGATATTTATTATTATTTTCTAAATTAACTTATTTAATTTATAAATTAATAAATAATTTAATATCTTTTTTTCCATAGTAGTGAACACTAAGAACATGAAGACTAAGAAAGGCGAGAGGAAAAACAAATTAACTAATCAAATGTCACAAATTGATATTTTTTAAGAAAATCAAATTATATTTATTATAATTAACTAATTTATTCCAATTAAATCTGAAATTTGAAATTTCTTAAATTTATTCTACTTAAGTAATTTTTAGGTGAGTCTCCAAGAAAATAAAATTACCAAATCCCAAATAAAAAGGTTTTGAGGGATTATTAAATGGAGCAGAAATATTGAAAATTAAACACAATTTCAAGTAAATTTAGAATTTTTTTAATATTTTTAATTTGTATTGTTCAATTTATTTATTAAATTATATTGTTAAAAAAAACTAAATGATTGAGCTCCTTTTTGCGAGAGAGCATCAAGGGATATGCTATGCAGTGGCTAACAATGTGTAGATACACATAAGAAAATCAAAAATACAAATAACTTTGTAACTTTTATTATGATTTTTCTTTTCGCATAAAAAAACTTGCTAGTAACTTTGGATTTCTGAAGAAAGAGGCCAAGACGTGGGAGGGAGCGGTAATCATCTCAGACAAAGTAATGGTGAGTGCGAAGTTTAACCACTTTTGCCACCTTCCCATACTTGGCACTTGCTTCCGTTAACCCCCTGACATTCCTAATCCCATCCATTATAATCCATCTTAATTACTCCTCCGGTCCTTATTATAAGACCCAATTTGATTTTTTATTTGGTCCTAATTATAAGACCCAATCCATTTTGTCTCTTATATTTATGCATTTTTTTTCAAGATAATCCTTCTAATAATGATAGTTTTAGCCAATATACTTAATTAGTAAGGATATTTTAGGAATGACAACACTTATTTATTATAAATAACCAACTTAACTTACTTCTTTAATTTCCTCAAATAAGTCAATTGGGTCTTATAATTAGGACCGGAAGAGTAGTTTCATTTTCAAATACTACTTATTAGTATCTATTATGTTTATTTAATTAGTTTCATTATCCATAATTATTTTAGCTTATTAATCTTCTTCATAATGACATAGCACAAGTCTATTAGGATTTCTTTTATTTTGGTTTTACTTCTTTATAATAACTAGCACGTGCTATCTCGCATAATGCACGGGATGCATTAACTTCACATATCTAATCCTGAGATTTAGACACAACATAATCAATATTTCCACCAAACAAAAAGATCAACTCGAAAAATATTTTGCATTTATTATATATCAATCCAAGTCAAGAATGGAAAATGGCATTTTTCCTGAATAGAGAAAATAAAATAAATGGATGGCACAAAAAAAGAGATAAAATAAAATAAATAAAAATATAACATCTGTAGGTCTTGTTTTTATAGAGTTGCACAAAACAATATCAAATCATTCTTACTTTATTGAGGACAACCCCTAAAATTTGGGGGGGGGGGAAGGAATTGATGAATTTAAAAAGCTCTTTCTTTCCTATTAGATCAACCTCTACAAATGAAAATATGAAACAAAAGATACATGAATTTAACATATAACAAATTCACCAATTATTTATTAGGTAGCTTTTACGGGGAAAAAGAACGTGGCAATGGTTTAATTAGGCTAAATAAAAAAAATTATGAATTCAACTCTAAACAAAATTCCTTCACCTCTGCACGTGAACGGACTTCCCAATAAACTGAGGACTACCAGCCTACCATGCCTTAATGATATTCATAAGTCTTACACAACAACTACCCCGCCTATTTCATATTGCTATAGTTTATCAGCAAACAAATTCTAATAGACTTATATTTCATAAATTTAAAAGCAAGTAATATATGAGCAAATGTAAGGAAAATCTAATTTACATGTCTGCTTGATGCTGCATTTCAAAGAGAACATTGATTACAAATACCAAACCCACAATCCAACCTATGTCATATGATAAATTTTCAATTTTTAAACCTCTTCTATTCTTCTTTTTTCGGAAAAAAATAAAACACGTAATGCAGATTTTTTTTCCTTATCGTCATTCATATAAATCATCTGATAAAAATTTAAAATATATACACATACTTTGTATTTAATTTTTAAACCCGAAAAACATCAAAATAAAAAAATGAAGTTTAAATTTGTACATTTCAGAATTTCTATTAGACGGAGCATTGCGGGCTAAATGGGCAGTTGGGTACGCATGTTAATAATACGGGCACGTCAAATTGGACTAGCTGGTAGACAAGTATCTTAGGTTAGGTTATTGATACTTTAGGAATGTCAGCAAATGCATTACATTGACGCTTGTAGGAGATCATTCCATTAATGGGGGGAAAAAAAAAAAACCATCAATGACCATTGAAAATTAAGAACCATTTATTCTCATATTTCTCAAGCGATATAACATATTTGGGTTATTGAGGAGTAATTAATTAAAAAGTGCCTCATGATTTTAAACGGAGGGAGACTAGAAAGGGCATTTATTTTTCATCTTAATAATATTAATTAGAGATAAAAATGAAATTTATATTTAATGGCATAACTAATTTTTTAATTCAGGTAAAATAATAAAATGTTACTTATAATTTTGGATTCGAGTAAGTTTTGTCCACAATATATACCAGAAAAATTTTTACTTTCACAGTTATTTAAACATCATCCAGAAAACTTTTGAGATGCTTATTGCAAGAAGCGGTAATTGAAATTTCTCTTTCTTTACCAGCACAGTAACTGAAATTTATAAGAAAGAAACATTGTATAAAAAAATTCATAAACAAAAAGTGTTCTTTGATTACTAAAAACAAAAAAGTCACAACACGCGGCTGTATTCACCGCGTCAGTTGTCATTAACTTTTGCGGGCCGACTGTCTATCGTCAAGTTGACAACTTGACCAAAGTACAGAACTTTCGCCAAGTTCATCTTTTTCCCCGTAGTGTGAAGTGAAACTTCCGATTGTCCCACTTGCACAATTACTCGTGGACGTTTTTATCCTTCACGACCTTCTGCGAAAGCCACCGGCAAATTCTGGACTCTCAAAAAGAGACGAGTAATTAGCTTCTCCTGACCTGTAACTCAGTTGTCTCCCGCGGTTTGTCCTTGAAATCCCGATTCTTTTCTCTCTTCCCCTCTTATATATTTCTTTCCTTACTCTTCCTCATTTATCTCTCGCCTCTCTCCACCTCTCTGCTTCTTAGCATATGAGGGTGTGTTTGGATGAAATCAAACCGTGGTTTGGAAAAGTGATTCTGGAACATAGATTCTGGAAAGAATAGATTCTGTGAAGAATATATTTTGTAAAAAAGTGATTCTGAGCAGTGAGAGTGTTTGGATAGTTGTTATCAGAAACACTTTTTATATATACAAATTACTAAAAAAAGACATAAGTTAATATGATAATTACAGAAAAAATAGATTTTATGATATATTTTAATTTGAAGGAATAAAATTGTTAATAATATATTTTTTACCAATATAATTAATAATACATAAGATAATATAATTAATAAATAATTAATGTGTATATATATTTATAAAATATAAGATTAAATATGTTTATCAAAAAATATGTTTATAAAAAAAATAACAAGATACATATCATATAGGCTCTCACACTCTCCCTTTTTTCTCCAAAAGCAAAAAAATTTTGCTTTTTCCAAAACTATAGTTTTGGAATCAAAACCATGATTTTGATCCAAAACCATGGTTTTGGTTTTTAGAGAGGATGTTTAGGTGATTGACACCCCAAACCATGGTTTGGGTCCCCAAACCATGGTTTGAGGTGTCATCCAAACACACCGAGTCTGTTTTTTTAAACTATGGCATCTCAAAACCCAGAAATTAATTTCCAGGATTACTTGCCTATTATGGCCAACAAACGGGGTGGAGATGGCTTGATAGAAGAACTGTGTAAATGGTTTAATCTATTAATGGATTCTGATAAAGGGGTCATCACTTTCGACAGCCTCAAGAGGAATTCCGCTTTGCTGGGGCTACAGGATTTTGCCGATGAGGATCTTCGCTCCATGTTGAGAGAAGGTGATTTTGACGGTGATGGCGCCTTGAATCAGTTAGAATTCTGAGTTTTGATGTTCAGATTGAGTCCTGAGCTTATGGAGGGATCAAAATTGTGGTTACAGGAAGTCCTTCAACAGGAACTCAAAGATTATGTCTGATTTTACCCCATCTTTCTTCCATTTTAATTTGTCTATTGAAGGCAATTGCCCCGTTTAGTTGTAACAAAAAAGAAAGAAATGAAATGGAACAAATTATTCATTTGATTTTTCCTTGATATCCTTCGCTATTATGGCAGTGTACCAGCCAAACGCAATTGTTTTCTTTGACCATTTCGAGGATTGGCATCTGTTTGTGCTTGTTGTTCAAACCTTACACACTTCTTTAATTCTTTTATATCTGAACTGGTTATGATTCCGTCCAGTTTAGTTGTAACTAAAAGAGTGGACTAGGTGAAAATGTGAGTCTTCTTGGTGTCATTATTGGGCTTCACGGTTCATTAGGTACGCGTCGCTGTTAGTAGAGGAAAACAGAGGACTTGGTGGACTTTGGTAGCACATTCATTCTCTTTATTGACTTTGATCTCTTCCGCCTGTGACTTATGGACCTACCTCTATCATAAAGATATTTATGGAAGTATCATTTTAAGGAAGCAGTAGTATTACAAAATATAATTTTCAAAGGCGTGTTTCTGCGGATAAGGTTGCCCCTGTTCCCATTCATGCTTGACTTCATCTAAAAGCTAAAACAAGGATGCAGGGCGAGTGTGAACATCGTGAATTATACAGGAATATCCTTTTATTTCCAT